AGAAAAATATACATGGCGAATTTTTTATCACGCTGCTTAAACAATAATATTGAAAATATGGATTACATATGGATTATACGCTTATATTACACGTGCAATAAAGATATACGGTAAGGTATTGTATATAACATATTGTATAGTAATATTATATAGAACATACATACAGATATTGTATAGTGTATAACATATTGTATATGAGATAATGTAATATACATCCGACCGAATAATATACAAGCGGGCATAGGGAGTGATTTCTTATGAAAAAATTAAAACAAACTCGAAGAACAAGTAAACCAGTAGAACAAAATTCTTTCATCTGAGGTTTTATGTTTTCATGAAATTTGAGTTAAATATCCGTCCCGTTTAAGTTCAATTTCCAGTCGGACACGATTTTCCGTGAAACGTATAACACTTGTTCTGATAAATAATGCTCTGCAACTCTACTGTATTATTTGTGTGAGCAATTAGTTTCCATTCAGTTATCAAAGCGATGAGTTACACGAATAGAGAGTACGTTGACATCAAGGCCTTAGGAGCCTTGGTAATTTTCGTCCTGCCGAATTGAAGCAGCGGTCGGACCCTATTTATATACATACAGAGTATACCAAAATTCGCGGATGCGGAATGTACAGTGATTGTTCGTATCAAAACAAACAATTTTTCATCTGGCAAAATTACGTCTGAATATTACTTTTTAAATGAATTTATCTCTATTTATGAGATATTTTATATAAATCTAAATGGATCTGTCTGTGTACAAATATAAGATTAAACTATTTTTACTATACAAAATAATCATTGGTAAAATTTAATATAAACTTTTTACATAAAATCCATGTCATCTATTCTTTGGCTAGAACTTACTAAAATCTATATTGTTATATAAAAGTAATATTTTTGTGAAAAATAAAATAAAAAAGCGAAATCGACATAAAATTGGATCGAAATAATTGATCTTGCAACATTTCAATTTCTCAATTTCAAACGAGATGATTCAATCTTTAATCTCTTATGAGATGACTAATATCAATTTTCATAGAGCACATATATAAAATGAGAAACGTAATATAACCGCAAAGAAATAATTTATTGTACAAAAAAGATCAAACAGGTAAAATAACATTTTTGTGCAGCTTTACGTTTGAGAAAATTTACTTTGAGAATTGAAAAAACGATAATATATTTATGTTTATACACAAGCTTGCTTCCTTCTACATTTATTTACTTTTGTTAATCTCTCGAGATATTTATTGATTTGATCAAATTTCAATCTTACATACCTAAAAATTGAACATATTAGTAGACAATTATCTAATTAATAGATATAAAATATTCTTGTATATTTATAAAACTAACCAAAACATACTCGTTACAGTTAAGTCGCTGATAATGTTAATATTAATTAGAAATATACGTATAAAAATAACATATATAATTTGCGTAATGTTATCATTTGTGCTTCGTAAATATGGAACATCTAAAGCAATTATTAATACAGCTATGATTGTAACGATGCACCCATGCACCCCTATGAATCCCCAGCAGCCGATCGCTGGAAGCTGCCGCCCGGCATGGGCAGGGCGCTGAGCGCCACATTTTTTAAACATTAACGACAAAGCCGCACGAAAAGGCTTTGAAATAGCGAAGCGCGTCGAAGACGGCCGACGGGGCCCGAACGATCGGGTTAAGTCTCCGGCTCCATCGCGCACCATGAACGGAGCCGTCACGATTAACGCCCGCTCGGCGGGGGTAACTACGTTTTACGCTGGCGCGAGCTAATTAGTCCCGTATAAAAAGAGCCTGTCAACCCAAGTAAATTCACTTTTTTCGAGCTTCTCGAGCGCACAAGTCGCAACAGAAAGCTAATCTAGGACGCCGAAAGCAGCGAAACCAGCGATAGGGAGTACTCTGCCACACCTGGGAATTCCCAGGATTCGCAAAAGTAGGCGCATCCGTTCTAAAGTGCAAGCAGAAATTGGGACGTTCCCCGATCTCCCCAGGAGTTCCCGGCCTACGCACAACTCCATTTCCATCACCCGTCCGACCGGTGCATACGGAGGTAGAGTGGAGAGCTACCCCGGCGGGCCGTTCCCGCTAGCACGGTCTTCCCGAAGGGAAATCCTGTTCTCACACCTTCCGAGAAAATACACGGCTTTACGCGCAACCTCGCAAACCCGAAAAAGCGCACGAAAAACGCCGGCACGCACCGTGACGTCACGCGTTCATTGATCGAACCGACGACTAATACGAATCAACAGCTGATCGACATTAAACGCATTATTGTCCGCAAACGCGTCGTTGCATCAGAGCCGGATTTGCACTATCCGCTGCGCGACCTTACGGTGCATCCAACCGCTCAACGTCGCCCATAAGTGTCGATTTCAACCACCATAAGACACCGTACATTTGTAAACGCGTTTCCGCGCGGGCCGCGAGCCACCAAACAAGCGCCCGCGGCGTATTTCGAACCACGCCAAGTTTTTGCGACACTATCACACATACAAGCGTACCGCCTACACGAACATCGAGTTTTTGCGACACCGTCTCATACACACACACCGCATACACAACTGTATATTTGCAGACTTTTTCTCTTTAAATATATTTCTTTATTTTGTTTTTTATATTAAATTCACGTTTCTTGATTTTTACGTCTGCCTAACCGATCCTGATTATCTCGATTGCAGTTATCCGCGGAAAAAAAATCACGAAAATAAGCCCGTTACATGATAAACCATCCTAAAATAAAACCTATTGTTCTCTTATGCATGTTGTAATTTGTTATTGTTCCTAATTTTTCCAATGTATCGTCCACAATGATGAGATTCTTTATACAATTTCTAAATGCCTGGTACATAAGAAAATAATATGTAGTAAATTAGCGTCCTTTATATTCGTAATATCAAATTGTATCGAAACATATTGACAAATTTTATGTCTAGTAATTTAATCATTTTATCTTATAAAAGATGTAAGGTATGTTATGATGTAATACATGAATATATATTATTTTTGCATCATCTTATATTTATTTCTTTCGTATCTTATCTTTTAAGAAATATATATAATTATTTTGACAATTTCATAAAAAACTCGTACTGTAGAAAGAAATTATCAATTTATGCATATGTATTTTACGCATTATGTAATTTTTCTGTTTGCGTACTTGTAACTTAAATAATAAAAAAAATATTTTTTATTTCTAGATTCAATGCAATAGAAAAAGATTTATAATGTAAAGATCTGTGTAAAATTTATTAATAACTTACAAGTTAAGACATTAAGTTGTAAGACTTTGAAAAGATTAAGATGAATAAGTAAGTTTTGATATTCTTGCATATGGAAGAACTTTTACCTACAAAAATGGTTTTTTATAAGTAAAAGTTGTTATAGGCATTAAGATTCCATAATTTTATTTTAAGCTTAAATTGAAAGGAGCATTAATAGCAGTAGTATAGCAAAACTATTTAGTCAGCAAGTCAAATTTGCATTTTAAAAGAATGCACTGTTCTGTAAAATATTTAATTAGATTATATTTAAAATACAATATTTTAATACAATATTTTTATAAATATTATTTTTTAAAACTTCTCAACAGAAAAATTTTTTATAATTATATACAAACGAAAAATCTAAAAAGGAAGTGAAGAAATGTTGCAAGCGAATGATGGTTGTAAATTAAAAATTATTACCTCTATCGCGTTGATCTTAGGTATAAGAGAGATTTCTAACTTTTCAATTTTTCCTTCTAATTTTTAATTTTTTGAAACAATTATCAAGCCATTTAAACATAATTACGTTGGAATAAATATAAAGTTATAAATCTCACACAAAATATATAATTAAATGTTCTATAAATATTTTAATATATAGCAGACTTTCTCTTTTCTAGTATATAATATAATTTCAGTAAATATAATATTAAAAATTATATATATATATATATATATATATATATATATATATAGCTAAGAAAATTCAATTATGTTTTCTTATAATCTTATTCAAATTAAAAATATAAACTTTAAAAAAGTTTTTATACAAATTTTATATAATGTACAGATGTTAATATAAAAATTTAAAATTTATTTAAAATTTATTTAAAATTTATGATATTAGATTTATATTTTTTCATCTTATAATCTTGTATTATTAATATTATACATTATAATCTTACCTTATAGTATTTCTCTATTTTTCAATATGATCTAATAAAATTTAAATTCATATAATTAGAATATATTTATTAAAATTTCTTTAGAATTTATTTTATAATATTATATATTGTATTATATTTTATATATAGTATTATATTTCACATTCATTTTTAAATTATTGCATTTTTTGCAAATATATTATTATTTAATTTTTTCGCCATTTATATTCTACGATATAAAAAATTAGAATAATTTTAAAAAAAGTGTTACGCAAATTAGCATAAAAAATTTTTAGATAGAAGTAAAATATGAAATTTTAGAGTATCTAAGTTGTTTATATCTCGAATAAAATAGCTGTAGCTGCTCACTGCAAATTACATATCTTTTTCTTAAAAACAACTGTGTTTTTATTCTACCAATTGATTACTCATATTCTTTCCATAAAAAAATTGAGATAAAGTCAGAAAAAGAATTTTTTTTAGTTTATAGAAAATGAAGAAATTATTTCACGTTTCATAACTCGAAAATTAATTAAATTTCACAATCAAATATAATCGCAACCATTAGATTTCGCTTCGATTATTTAAATACAAATACTCGAAAATACAAATTAGCATCAGTATGTCATCTGTTTACAATCATAAAAAATGATATGATATTTTTTAATCAAAATTATCGAAAGGCAAGATTGAAAAATCTCTTTTATCTTCCTTAATAAATCTAATATTAAGATTAAATCTGAAAATAACAATTAATTTAGAAATATTCTAGAAATATTTTTCTTATATTAAGATTTATTGAATCGTTCGTGAAAGAAGATAAACATTAATTTAATTAAATCAGCTAAATAATATCGACTGGACTCAGTAAGGCATCTTTCATGTTCTCTCTTAATGCTATAATATTTTTCAGACAAAGTTTAAAATTTGGTCTGGCATCCGCTGTACTCCAGCAACGCATCATCAATTGGTACAACGTTGGCGGACAGTTAAGAGTCATCGGCAACCTGCCTCCAGCACGTACATAATTTATCACTTCTTCATCAGTCTTGGCAGTATAAGGTTGCTCACCCAACGATGTAATTTCCCATATTAATACCCCAAATGACCAAACATCGCTTTGAGAAGTAAATATTCCGATCACCAAAGATTCGGGTGCCATCCAGCGAATAGGAAACAAACCTTCTCCTTTCTAAAACATGATTTTAACAAAAATTTAATTTTCTGATTCAAGTTGTTTATTTTTAGAATGTGTACAAACTCAAGAACATTCATGTATCTCTTGCTTTATATAAATAAAAACTATTTATATTCTATATTACTTAATGAAACAATGCACGATACTATTATGATAAAAAATAGAAAGTATTTTCAAAAGAATTCATTTTTTAATCATTAATTTTTTTTAATAATTGTATTTACCATGCGATAATAATCATCCTTGTAGATATCTCTAGCCATTCCAAAATCTCCAATTTTGATGACACGATTCTCGCGATTTCTCGAAGATACTAAAACAATTGCGACACGCTAGATCTCTGTGTACAAAACGCAACTCTTCCAAGTAGCAACAACCTCGTGCAACATCTTCGCACATAGCGAGCAAAATCCTGCAAACGCAGAGCAGGCGAATCTGACGTTTGCAAATTTCGACAATCTCTCAAATATTTTAACAGATCAGTTTCCATCAATTCCAACACTAGTAACGGAGAATCCCCTTCTAAACAAACGGCCAACAATCTTAATATATGTTTGTGTTGAAAATGGTTCATAAGCTTGGCTTCCTTTAAAAATTTCTTTTTTTCATCGGAAGAAGCGTCTTTTCGAATCATTTTTATTGCAACGGATACCTCTGTGCCCGATCTTTCTAAGTTCTTCACATTTCCTTGAAACACCTGCAAAATATTTCACACAAATTTACATGCGTATTTCATTAGAAAATGTATATAGTTTAATGTCAAGTAATATTATATTTTACTTTATATTAAATAATTCAACGAAAAATGTATAATAAAGTACACGTCTCATCTAAATTTTACATTACTTATAATTTATTATAAAAATTCATGTAATTTTTAACTTTATTAGAAAATACATTTCTGTTTTGTTGATCCAGAAATTAATTTGAAACATAGCTTGAAAAAATTAATTTTTACCTTTCCGAATGCGCCGCTACCAAGAAGTTTTGTAAATGCAATTTGTTTACGTGCGATTTCAGTTATCGCACATTCATACGGATTATAATGTACCATAGGACTGTAAATCATATTGAATTGAGTATTTCGGCAAGGTACTTCATGTAAAATCGCCAATTCCGTATTCATTGTTGAAGACAAAAATTGTTCATTATGACCTCTGCGTTGACGATACACTGTTATAAAATTCGACTTAATTATGTAATAATGTAAATATGTATTATAAAATTTACGGTGTTTTTTAGTAAATTTATTCATTTAGTTATATAAATAAATTATTATTTTCAGGAAATTTTTAGATATTATATCAGATATATATGTATAATCTACAATTCAAGTCGATATCTAAGTGAAATATACAATACTTACAACGATAAAAGCAGTAGACGCAGATTATAATAACTATAATGATAAAACTTAACATCAATGGTAGATAATATTTATAATATTTGTTTCTGTTATTCCAGGAGTATTTGAAATATCATCTATATTACGCAAAAATATAATTTTAATATTTTTGTGTGTGCGTTTTATTTAAAAATTTATTTCCACTAATAACGTTATTATAAATCAATTAATAATATATTAATAATAAATTAATAAATTAATTTTAAATTTTGTAAGTCTGTTCATATATAAAAAAATAAGCATATAATATTATAACATCCATACACCACAAAATATTACAGCTACTTTGCAACAATGTTGCAATATTACAAATTGCAATGCAACATTACGGAAACATTGTAGAAATATAAATCAACAAAATAATGAATTAGACATTAGCAATATGATATTTATATTTTAGAAACATTTTAAGAAAATTATAACACTCTTTAACTTTTTCGCACCTCCGGCTTTCGAAAAAAGATACGTTTGATATGAAACAATTTTATAAGTTCTTGAATGTGTTGATTGTAAATTTACTATTAAAATTTAAATTCATAATGACAGATTCAAAATGGTTGCCATGAAAAGCTAAAATATCGATATATTTATAATATTTGAGATTGAATTTTATTTTTTAGATATATATTACGTTTTTTCTGAAAATGCACATACACACTTGATTCACGGTGTTGTTATACTTTTTTAAAGATATATTTTAAATATATTTTTTAAATTATACTAAAAGAATATAGGTAATATTTTATTTAACATTATAATTTTTTATTTTCCTTTTTAATGCATTTTTATCTATATTTCATATACAAGGATATGTAACTGTATTTATTAAATTTTTTGAATAAAATTATGATTAGTTATAAATGTATAATTAATTCCAATTAATGTTTATATATTTGTATCCCATTATAACAGTATATAGAACATATAAAATAAAAAAAGTGATTTGTATAAGTAAAAGTTTAAAGTAATTTTATATCCAAATTATAAGTATTCTATATTTTAGTTATATGATTATGTTTAAATACAATACTACAATATATATACACACACACACACACACACACACACACACACACACGCGCGCACGCACACGCCACACGCACACGCACACGCACACGCACACGCACACGCACACACACACACACACGCACACGCACACGCACACGCACACGCACACGCACACACACACACACACACACACATATATATATATAAGGTAGACCATTTTAATCATTACACGCGAATATCTCAGAAACACTGAATTAAATTGAAAAATGTTTCAAACAAAAGTTATATGGCTTGAAAAGGGACATAAGATGGTGTCATTAGTTTGATCTTGAAAAGTCACCTGAAGGTCACGTAAAGGTCATTTACAACTTTTTAAATGGGATACCCTACATACTTTTACATATTCTTATAGCTTGCCTCAAGAGCTTTCCAAAACACTATAATAAAATATTTTTTCATTTAGAACTTTTCGAATTATGAGGCTTAAAATAATATCTTAATTTTACATAAACTATAAAATATCTAGTAAAATATTCATTTTTCGATTATTTTACCTTAATACACTTATACACAAAATAATGTAAGAAATCGATTGATGTAAAGAAAAAACAACATAATTGTTTCGGAGAAAAAAATATATAATTGCAATTAATAATTACATATTTTTTCTCAAAAAGAATTATGTTTTTTCAAACTAGTGGCACCATCTCATGTCCCCCTTCAAGTCATACAACTTTTGTCTGAAACATTTTTCGATTTAATGCAGTGTTTCTGAGATATTCGCGTATATTGATTAAAATGGTCTACCCTATATATATATATATATATATATATATATATATATATATATATACAGGGTGGCCCACATAACTCTTAACAGCTCAATATCTCGAAAACTATGCCATCGATTGTAAAGTTCTTGGTCTTAAATTGCATGGATCTGAAGGGCCTTTCTAACTACATAAACGTGAAGTTGCCCCCCTTCCTCTTTAAGGGGGGGGGCGGGGGTAACTTTATAATTTTAAATGGAACCCCCTATAAAACGTTACATATTTAGATTCTACAGGAAAAAACAAGTAAATTTTGTCTGAAACATTTTTTTGTCAGATATTTCTATGATGAGATATAACAGTTTGAAGTTGCGACTTGTAGGTACTTACTTGAAGCGCTCGGAAATAGCGTTGTTGAATTATACGCGCTTGAGTTCTTTGCTTATTCGTGAAGAAATAAAATGTTCTTTAAATTAAATGTTCAAAATGTCCACCACGGACTTGTAAACATTTATTTACTCGAAACATCAAAGTTGTTCTAACATTTGTTAATATTTCGGGAGTCACTGAAGCGCAAGCGTCACGTATTCTTTGTTTCATATTCTCTTTTGTCGTCGGCGGTTCAAACATAACTTTGTCCTTTACATATCCCCATAAGAAAAAATCTAATGGTGTTAGATCGGGGGATCGAGGAGGCCATTGACGAGGTCCCCCACGACCTATCCATTTGTTCCCAAATTTTTTATTCAAAAATTGTCTGGTGATGATTGCAAAATGTGGAGGAGCGCCATCTTGTTGAAACCACATTTCTCTTCTAATGTGTAGTGGCACATCTTCTAAAAGCGCAGGCAAATGATTTTGTAATAAATCACAATAACTTTCAGATGTTACAGTTTCTTCAAAAAAATAAGGTCCAATCACAAAATCTCCTATTATGCCACACCAAACATTTAAAGACCATCGATGTTGAAAGGGAACCGATCGCATCCAATGTGGGTTTTCAACGGCCCAATAATGCATATTATGTTTATTTACATGTCCTGAATTCATAAAAGTAGCCTCATCGGAAAAAAGTATTTTGCACAAAAAGTCATTTTCCATAACACCCTGCAGCCACTCACAAAATGTTACGCGGTGATCGTAGTCTGCCATCGAAAGCTCTTGTGATAAAATCAAGTGATATGGATGATATTTTTGCCGTTTCAAAATTCGTTGAATTGAAGAACGACTGATATGTGATGTTTGTGCAAGTTTACGTTGACTAATATGAGGATTGAATGTAATTGCAGCAATAATATTGACACTATTATTTTCATTAGTGACAGGTTTAGGTTTATTGCGAGTTTTTTCACACAATTCACGTGCCGCTTTTCTAAATTATAAAATGTTACATGAGATTTTTCGATCCCATAACGTTCAAAAAACATCACTGCTGCACGCCGATAATTTTTTTGGCATTCACCTAACACTAATAACATATTCACTTCTGTATCAAAAATAGCCATAATTACAATGTTACTGCTTGAATAACAGCTCTAAACTGAAAACGTTTTCATGGATAATCGAGTCAAACTCAAGAATTGTAAATATTATTGTTTCTTCACGAATAAGCAAAGAACTCAAGCGCGTATAATTCAACAACGCTATTTCCGAGCGCTTCAAGTAAGTACCTACAAGTCGCAACTTCAAACTGTTATATCTCATCATAGAAATATCTGACAAAAAAATGTTTCAGACAAAATTTACTTGTTTTTTCCTGTAAAATCTAAATATGTAACGTTTTATAGGGGGTTCCATTTAAAATTATAAAGTTACCCCCGCCCCCCCCTTAAAGAGGAAGGGGGGCAACTTCACGTTTATGTAGTTAGAAAGGCCCTTCAGATCCATGCAATTTAAGACCAAGAACTTTACAATCGATGGCATAGTTTTCGAGATATTGAGCTGTTAAGAGTTATGTGGGCCACCCTGTATATATATATATATATATATATATATATATATATATATATACAGGGTGATTCAAAATAATCCCTGTGTCCGTGAAATGACACATTGTTGAGTCAATTCTAAGACGATTTTTTCCTTTTGCAAAATTTCGTCCGAAGCTTAGTTTTCGAATTATTAAAGAAAGTAGTTAACGCATGACGGGTCGGATACAAGAGGCAGGCAAGGGTGACGCGAGGCCCGTCAGACGCGGGCGCTTACGCGGGGCGTCTGCTGTGCGGGGGATCAGCTGGTAGCTATACACATACACACACATGAGAACACATACATTCTCTCTCTGTCTGCTGTCTGTCTGGCTGTCTCTCTCTCTCTCTCTCTCTCTCTCTCTCTCTCTCTCCCTCCCTCTCCCTTCCCTCCCCCTCTTTCTTTCTCTTTCTCTTTCATTCGCTCACTCACCTGTAAATTTTTTTTTTTTACGAGAGAAGGGAAAATGCATTTTATGCATATCCACCGGTTAATCCAGTGAGTTATGTGGGACTCGAGTACCAAGTTGAATTACCAACTCGGTACTCCTTACCCACTAAAAATCCCTCTCTTTTCACGAATTTTCTTTGACATACTGTCCTTCCCGAGATACGTTTTCACATAATGTCAAAAAATAGTTATTATTATCTTGTTCAATGACTTCTGATGTATTGCTGTAATTGCTTGAAGAAGAAATGAATTTTCTGATAGATCGTACGTTCTCAAATTTAACGTAGATATCACGTTGCACAAGACAGAAACCCATACTAAATTATTAACTGAAAGTTTTTCTTTCATGAACTGCATTCTTTTATAAACTTTAACATAATCACATTTATTTACTCACTCGACGAGACGAGAAATTTACTAATGACTCTATCACTAATCACTATTAATCACTGTCGAATAATAACTGTTGGCGATTAAAAATCACTCGATAAAAGAAACACGCACTACACGTTACTACACGACGCGACGACGCGACACTGCGACGATAATTACTCGGCGAC